TAAGGAGAGTCACATGGAGAGAAAACATTCTCTCAGGCTTTCACAGAGAGCACATTGGCCAAGCAATGGCCGTGACTCATCCACATGGCTCACACCGACAAAGGTTCTACAATCTGAGGTACAGGATCTCAGGATAAATCCTGAGCAGATTTCACTGACCTCATCAGACCCAAAAGCTACAACTCTTGTTGCATAGGTCTTGCTTTATCTTGGTCTTAACCATCCGGCAGAAAAGTATAAAAGCGAAGTATAAGAAGTAAAGCCATGGTTTTATGTTGAGCTGTAGGGGACTCAGGTCAACAATTTCTGACATTGCCAGTGAAGCGGAAGCCCCAATACCGGACTACTGGACTCTACTACTACTGGACTCTTTTAGAATATTTTGCTGAGTTAACACTCCTGTAATATTGAAATAACGGAACTAAACAAAAAAAGGGATACAGATGAATGTCCATTTTATATCTCTTTATTCAAAATGGTTGGGATCGATATATAATTACATTCTCTTAATGAATAGAGGGATTTGTTCTAATAGAGTTTGTAAATAGGATATCATGTCTGCATCTTGTACAGCAAATAACCAGTAGGAAGAATGTATGCAATGTGGTAATTATTGGAACTGTCCTACCAATTTGATTTGAAACTGTCTCATCACTATGTGTTTATCAATAAAATTATGGAAAAAATAAAGCAATGTTACACAAGGATTTAGAATAATCATTTATTGCTACATTAAATTAATAGTTAATGTATTACATGCACACAGCAAAGACACAATTTACATATTGATTTGTGTAATACGTGCTCCTCAAAATTTTAAGCAGATCAGAACCTGAGTGATTCAAGACTCCTAGACAAGGATATTTGCTGATCCTATTCTTGGCATTTGCCCCTCTCCAGTGAAATCAGCGCTGAGATCCTTGAGCTCCCGGAGCCAGGTCAGCTCTGTGGTCCTGACCTCTTGCAGTGTGCTCTCCTGAGGCTCTCAGCTTGGTCAGCACCCAGAGTGTTGAGCACTTTCCTTCCCTGGACCCTCTCCCTGTTAGTGCCATGGACAGTATCTCTGGCTCCCAGGTCCTCAGCCCCATAGGTCAGGGGGCAACTTCTTCACCACAGAGCAGGACAAAGTTATGCAGGGCTGCAAAATCTATTAAGGCCTTAAATTCACTGCCTACATCTCTGTCTCCTTCCTTTCTGAATCCACCCTAGAACCTGGATAAGGAGGATTTTTTTCCCTTGTTATCCTGGAGTCCTACCTGTTCATAACACAGCAGACAAATTTTTCCTCCTATGTCTCTTCTCTATCCAATATGTTAGATGCACCAGGCTATTCATTTATTTATTGTTGGTACCTGGGATTTAACTTAGGAACTTGCACATGCCACGCAGGCACTTACTCTGCTGAGCTCTGTCTCAGCGCCAGCGTTACTCATTTTTAAAGGATCTATTAAAAATTTAAGCCATTCACAGCAGTCATCTCCATTTTACTGGATCTGCTCAGAATCAGCTCTAACCTGTTGTGCAGGGAAGCACAGAGGGGTCTCTTGCAGCCTTGGCAGAAGCAGGAGTTGTTGGGGGCTCATGTGACCCTCTGAGCAGGGACAACAGGAGGAAAGAAGAAGGAGACAGAGACTGGGAGGATTTCCACACACCTGGGGTGGGTCTGGGAGTGAAAATCTCTGTCTGGATTTCTTTCAGAGACAGTTGCAAGAACAGAGGCCACAGCCACTGCAGGCAGCCCTTTTCTGATCGCGGGACACAGGCCAGCACTGAGAGGTTTGTGCATTGACAGTGGTGGGGAAGGAACAAAGTGCTGTGTCCTTTCTGCTGTCTCTGAGCTGATGCATTGATTGAAACTGTCAAAATGTTGACCTTAGTTTACAGTTTTCATAATTTCTGCCATTTCTCTTATTTGCTTTGAAGATGGTTTTAACTTATCCTTCAATGATAAGAGAACTTGCCTGGGGTATGGACCTGCTCTTCTAGGAAGAGGGCAGAACTGTGAGCTCTTGTGTGTGTTTGTGAGACATGAAGGATTAGAAATCCCAAGGTGAGGAGAAACCTCGCCCTGCTCCAAGAATGCATCAATTTTCCTCTAGAACTGTCAATTCCCTTCACAGCCAAACCCAAGCAGGCTCCTGTTCTGCTATTTCCTGCTTCTCTGAGGGACCTTTGCATGGAACTGTGCTTAAGGAGCAGCAGCATATATGCTCTGAATCACAGAGAGAACAACAGTTTCCAATGCCCATGGACGAGCAGCCTCATTACGTCCTGGGCCCCCGGGGGGAAACCTGTCCCCTGCAGGATATCTGTGCTCCTCTGGTCCAAACAGTGAGCCAACAGGCAGGTGGCATGTGCTGGAGGAGCCAGGCCTGCAGCTGGGCCTCTCCGCCCCGCCCTGCTGATTTGCATGTGCCCAGAGCCCAGCCCAGCCCTGAGGGTTCTTCATAGGCTGCTCACACCCTGGGCTGGAGTCGGTCCCAGGCAGGACACAGCATGGCCATGAGGGTCCCCGCTCAGCTCCTGGGGCTCCTGCTGCTCTGGCTGCCAGGTAAGGAGGGGCAGCCCTGGGGATTTCCTCAGCACTGCATGGTCAGAGCCACCTGGATCTGATGGGCGTTCTTTCATAATATGATGATTTGTGTAAACATTTGTGCTATGCTTCCATTTTCAGGAGCCAGATGTGATATCCAGTTGACTCAGCCTCCAGCTGTGTCTGCATCTTTATCAGAGAGAGTGACCATCACTTGTCGAGCCAGCCAGAGTATTAGCAGTAGTTTACACTGGTATCAACAGAAACCAGGAGAAGCTCCCAAACTCCTGATCTACGGTGCGACCACTGTGCAGTCTGGGGTCCCCTCGAGGTTCAGCGGCAGTAGGTCTGGGACAGATTTCACCCTCACCATCAGTGGCGTACAGGCTGAGGATGCTGGAACTTATTACTGTCAGCAGGGTTACAATTACTTTCCACAGTGACACAAGCCTTAACAAAAACCTCCCTGGGAAGCAGAAGTGCGAGGCTGGGCAGCCCCACTGCTGTCTGCTGTCTCCACCTGCAGAGGGCTTGCTCAGATGCAGCCAGGCTTTGCTGCTCACTGGGGTCTTTGGTAAAACTACAGAGGGAGGCTCCTTTGCACCCTAACACTCCCTCCTCCTCCCCAGTGGTGAGCGCAGACCTCACATGCCTGTCCTAATCTGATGGAGGACACAGACGAGCTCCTCCAAGCAGAGTAGGAGATGGCTTCATGTGGATTTTACACAGCAGCAGAGAAGCCCTTCTCTATGCTCCAAGAAAGAGTTTTTCAAGATTTACTTATTTTTTTAGAATAGATTTAAGTTCAGAGCAAAATTTGAAGTGCAGTGGTACAGCCTTCATACCCTCCATCTCCACATCTCTGGAATCTCTCAGTCAACAGCACACAACTACAATGTTGCACTCAATGAAGGTCAGTTTGCCCTCAGTGACCAGATTCACATTCAGGCTCATTCCCAATCTACATCTCCCTGGCATAGCCCGATGCACAATGATGCGTAATTTGCATTTTGGTTATGACTCAGTGCAGCTTCTGCATCCTAAATCTGCTCTAAATTCTGCCTGTTTATCCTCTTTTTTTCCCATTTCCTACAAATCATTCATGTTTTACCATTACTGTACCTTTTTTTTTTTCAAATTGCCTAAATCTTTAAATTTAAATTACAGAAGCCTTTCAACAGCTAATCTCAAAATACCTTATGGTATAGGATACACTAATGAAAATACTGAATAACGCATTGTGCTACACAAAGTCTCCCCTTCGATCTTTCCTTATTACCCTGAAAAATCTGCCTCAGTGAAGGTGCTGTGATAGCAGCTTTCCCAGTACTGACTGTGCCCTGGAGGTGACCGGGATGTAGACCTGCTTGGACTTCACGCTGAGAGCCCACCCCATTTTACATGGTGAGCAGGAGGTTATGTGTTCTGGTGTCCATGTGACTGACGGGACTTGCAGGTGGAGCACTAGAGCTGTCACAGTTCTTCACTTAGGTCCCTTAGAGCCACTCAACACTTCATGGAACCTGGCATGGGGTCTTTGTCAGCTGCAGTTGAGTACATTTGCTCTTGTTTGTGTGGTTCCTGAGCATTTAAAAGAGAAAGAAGTCATTGCATTTTGTGCTGAAAACTATCTCCTGGCCTCATTTTCATACTGTCTATGTGCCTTTCAGGACTGCAAACACTGAGCTCCTCCCCTAAGCGCAGCACCTCAGCTCACTGTGAAGAGCAGAGATCAGTCTTCCAGAAGGCAGTGCAGTGGTGTAGCTAGCACAGGACCCCTGGGGGCTGTTTCTTTTTCCCTCCAGTATGCCTGCAGCTGTGGAGGTGCCGACCACTGCAGGGACACAGTCTCCAAGCTCTATACTGCTTCTTCTCCAAGAACGATCTCAGATTGAGGCAGAGTGCAGCCTTTCCATACACCCTGTTCCCTGCCTTCTCATCCCAGGGAGACGATGGGCTTATTTCTCCCCTGCTTGGCAGCGACTGTTCATTTCTCCCTTATTAACTTGTGTATTTACAATAGTCAGTATTAATGAAGATGAATTTTGAGCAGGTGAAACAGTGAAACATGGCAAGAAAATGGTAATAAATAAGTGATAAAATTATTCTAGTTCTTTTATTTATTGTCAAATATCAACAAGGAATTTTTTTTAATAAACACACAAGTATAGGGGGCTCTATGAATTCCAGGTAGAAACATGAAATTTGTGAACTTTAAGCAGAACAGTATGGAACAAATTCAGAAATTTACTCTTCTCCTCCAAAGGATGGCTGCCCTGGTGGTCCTTGAAGCAAGGTCCTTGAAGTCAACAGTTCTCACAGCAGCTTGGGTCAGACTCATCAAACCGGCTTCCATCATAACTGCCAAAAGTGGAAAAACCTATGTTGCTATAAGCACAGGAAATATATTTTATATGTTAAATAGTTCTTAGAAATAATAAAATCACATTTGCAACAACATAATTTGAACTTAAAAAAAAAGCTGTGTTGTGACAACGTTGGAAGCCATTAAGGAGCCCAAGCTATAGGACTTCTGGTGTGTGGAATTCTAGCAAAGGCAAACCTGGTCTACAGCGACAGCAGGTGGCCTGGGCAGGACCCTTTCAGAGGACAGAGGGGAAGTTCATTAGAAATGCGGTGGAAAGCTTTAGAGCTTTATGGTAATACTGTCTGTTTTTTTTTCCCCATAATTTTATTGAGAGACAAATAGCAATGAGACAGTCTTAAATCAAATTGGTAAGACAGTTTCAATAATTAACACATTGCATACTATCTTCCTAGTTGTTATTTGCTGTACAAGATGCAGACATGATATCCTATTTAAAAACATTATTAGAACAAATCTCTCTATTTATTAAGAGAATGTAACTATATATCTATCCTAACCATCTTGAATACACAGATACAAAATGGACATTCATTTATATATCCCCTTTTTGTTTAGTTCCATTATTTGAATATTACAGGTGTGTAAACTCAGCAAAATATTCTAAAAGAGTCCAATAGTCCATAATAGTACTGGGTCTTCCACTTGACTGGCAGTGTTAGAAGTTGTTGACCTGAGTCCCCTACAGCTCAACATAGCAGCATGGTTTTACTTCTTGTAGTTTGTTTTTATACTTTTCTTCTGGATGGTTAAGACCAAGATAAAGCAAGACCTACGCAACAAGAGCTGTAGCTCTTGGTGTCTGTTTTGATTTGCTCAGTATTTAGTAGGATGCTTTGGCATAATAAATTCAATGAACTGCTCAATGACAATCAGTGGGGGTCAGTGAACTTTAGCTTTTCTCTAATTATGCTGGTCAGTCACAGTAAGCTCCAGGCACAGTTTCAAAAGATTGGTTTCACACTTGTGTGTGCGCTGGAGTTTTACAGAACAGAACTTCTGCAAGCTCCTCTCTACTCTGCCGGCCATGAGCTTTGTGTCCTTTAGTGAGATACCTATTTTTTTTTTTTTTCTGTTGGATTTTCCAGGGCATAAAATAAGGTTTAACATAAGTCTCATGGATTAAGTGAAAGGCATGATCATGCTATAAAATCAGATTTTATTTCAACTAAGCATGGGAGAAAAATTGAGATTCATGTAAAAACGAGAAGAGAAATAAAAGGGACAAAATATTCATGAAGTACATCAAGCAAACAGAAATGCCAGACTACACAGTTCACATGCACTTTCAAAATTATAGCTATATATCCTGAGTTTTATGTATAAAACATAATACAACAATGTAACGTTACCTGTTTATTAAATGTACACAAATGTAGATGGATTTTTTCAAGTTCCTTTTGGTATTAGAGATTTTGACATCTTGCGTTTGCCAGACGGATGCTGTACTGCTGACCTAAAACACCAGCCCTAAATTCTGTTTCTTCAAGAGTTTCTACATTTTGTCATCTCAGTTGCAAATCTTTGATTTTATTCTAACTTTTTTAAATGTCTTTTTGCGATTCGGTGTTTTTTAAGGTATCAAATATTAATTTTTTTTTCTGCAACTTGCTTGTTTTATTTTTTTTTCTTTTCAAAGTTTTATTGATAAACATATAGCAATGAGACAGTTTCAAATCAAATCGAAAGTACAGTTTCAACAAAT